ATTCTCAATTTTTCTCGTAGCGGAAGGATGCAACCCAGACTTTACGAGAAGAAGGAGGATAGTTTGATAGTTGCTGTGTCAAAGCTTTAAAAGTGCCTCTGGGGCTGTAGATGAAGACCTTGCCAACACCTACCAACCACCTACAATGGCACCCCGGAGAAAGAAGCAGAAGACCAAGCGCGCGCCCGCTGCGGTTGACGGCACTGTACGAAGCACTACGCAACCCACGATCGACAGTCTGTCTATAGAGACGATGCAGACGGTCTTCAGTTATCTTGGTTTCCACGACCTGATACGATGCAGGCACGTGTGTAGGAAGTGGTCTCTGTACATACCAGAAACAAGCCCAGAATTGAAGAAGATACTCTTTCTGACAACCGATCTTCCACCATGCAAGCATGAGCTGCGCATTCAAGCTCGTAACTCCTTCGCCAAAGATGCCGGAGACACCTTCAATGTGAGTCCCGCCCTCCCGCGTATCGAAACCAGGGCCCCAGGGCTTCATGTCAATCCTATATTCCTCCAGCTCAAGTGGAACAAGCTCGTTATTCCAGGGCTTAGACAATTCTCTCCCACAAGTCGCTATGGTATATACGTACTTGACTTCACATCCATGGAGCAGTTACGCAGGATCGCGACATCTCTTGAGAGCAAGGTTGACGAAGGCTTGTGGACCGATATGTTGATCTGCGTCCCACCAGTGCAGAAGTTGGAATTGCGTCTTACCATATACACGCCCGGATTTTGTGCTCATCTCACACGCACACTGGCTGACAATCGTGGGATACGCTTTCAGGGCTTGGTTGGCTCACTGAGGAGCTTGTTTCGAGAGGTAGCTGAGAACCTCATGATACATAAGGTTACGCTGCAGCACAAAAAAAGGATAATTGAGATTTTCGATTGGTTGGGCGGTGGTGAACATGGGGATGGTACCTTTGAGAATTTCCCGCGCATTGGATACATGAACACCGAGATTACCAGGGACGGAAGTTTGCGTAGGATACGGTCGGGGCATTTCGAGTGGGTTCATCAATGAGTTCACAGCCTTAGAAATGAAAGATCACATATGCTGTCAGTCAGAAGTTCACATGCTTGCAGGTTCCTGGCGTAGTCAGCTACAGTAACGATGCACTGTTTCACTATCTTGATTGTTATTTACATATCTCTTCGTACATCTGAGTCCGATCTCATGGGCCAAGATCAAACAAAGTTCATCAGTAGTATGACCTGATGATCACGCGGAATTGTTTCACCAAGTATCCTACCGCTCGATCAACGTGACTTAACACGCGGTATAACTTCCGGCCTCTGTATTCCAATACTCTCAACTGTCAACTCCACTGGTCTTTCAGGAGAGATCGTGTTGCCTGAGATGCCATATAAAATGGATGGAAATACATATGACCTGACCAGCAACAATAGCCTAAGCAGGTCCCACAAGCAACCTGACATGCTGACAGATGGCGCCAATCATCATCTTCCAAACGAGATATGGCAAAACATATTTGGCTTCCTAGATCTACCTGATCGTAAGTTCACTCCGCGAATCTGCTCTCTCAAATGTATTGTGGGCGCTTGATCTAGATACTTGCCACTGACTCTGGATATAGTTCTTCGCTCCCTTCGAGTGTGCACGGAGTGGCGTGATAACATTCAGAGCACTGATCCAACGCTCCGAGACAAGATGTTCAAGGATCGGGTAGTGCCGCCTAAAGATGGGAGTGGAAGTGGAGAGAAAGCGACGAGCAGGAACGAGAACATGGAAGGCAATGGAAGAGCGCATGACGATGGCGACCACCATAACTCCATAAAAGGCGACAGCGACGAGCGCTTGAGTAATACCACCGACAAGACAAAGAGCAGTGTCCCTACCGTCACGGTCAATCTACGAGCGGGCGGCGTTTTGCTCTGGGTTCCCGGCTCTTTCCCACAGGCTATGATCAGGTTCGAAGTCGAGTTCAACACAGACTACGGTTATGGTTTTCGGCCTGATGATTTTGATCGCCTATCCAACTTTCCCTCCGGCACGACATTCCATCCGATTCTTCTAGATCTGGACCGTCGCTTGCCGCTCGTCGATGAGGTGTTTCTGACAACCGAAGGAGAGCCATATCCACACTTCAGTGTTGATTCATTCGATTCTCTGGATAACGTGTTAGAAAAGATGCGAAGATGTTCGCGCAGAAACGAGGGCTCATGGAAAGATATGCTGTTGTGTGAGCCAGCTCAGCCGCGCATCGAAGTGGTCTTCGACTATACGTATTATGAATCTCGTCGCACCTATAAGCTTCACGGAGAGGGCGGATGCGGGGTTACTATGGGTCAGTTTGTGAGGGCTTTCCGCGATCAGTTAGAACATATTGAAGAGGACGTACGCGGCTTTCCGCAGGAGATGTTGACTTATTGTAGTGGTGAATGCTGGGAGAAGAGGCATGAGGATGGGTATTGAGTGTTAACAAGGTAGCATAATGCGGGAGGTAAGAAGATAGAAAGAGTCTAAGAAATGAAGAGACCTTTGGTACCGTTGCTTCACTGTCTAAACCGGTCTGTGAAATTGTCTTGATCCACCTCATTCCGTGACACTGGAACTAGGTCAAACCACGAAGACATTAGCAATATATCTTGGTGGCCATGTGGAACTGTCTCACACACATGCCACTCGATGAACGTGACCTCCGGCGCAGTATAAAGTCTAGCACCCGAGTGTCGCTACCCCTCCTATCATCAATCTCGATCCATTCTCACAAGTGACTACACCGCCGGAGATACCACACAACATGCAGGGCAGTACAAAAGACAACACCGGGAAGCCCAATACAGACATACCGACTGGGAGCGCAGTCCCAGACGCCCCTCCCAAGATACTCCGGAATGAAGCTGATCCAGATGACAACAACGATGGCAACGAGAACGAGAAGAAGAACGACAACATGGACGACACGAGTACCGACAGCGATGATGATGACAGCGATATTGCCACAATTAAAGTGAATCTCAGAACGGAGATCAGAGTCCAAAGCCTCCCCGACTCTTTCCCCAAGACTGTGATAGTCCTAGAAGTTGACTTCAACGAAATGGAAACAACCCCCTTCCATCTCGTCGAGATTCCTCGTGGTACTGAGTTCCATGGGATTATTGAAAATATGGAGCGGTGCATGCACCACGTCGACGAACGCTTATTCGACCGAGTAAGGCTGCGAAACGCTGGTAAACCACGACCCTGGTTCGAATTTGAATCTTTCCAACACCTGCGAGCTCTGCTGGAAGACAGCAAGGATAACTCCGGGGCTAATGACGGTGATTGGATGGACCAGCTCTTGTTTGGGCCAGGTCTTCAGAGAATCGACGTTTTGTTCAAATATAGGGCTTACAGGAACACCGGCCGCAAGTACGAGCTCACCGGCGAGAATGGGAAAGATGTCACTGTCGGCCAGTTCGTGAAAGCTTTCCGCGATCAGTTGCAGCACACCGAGGCAGACATAAGGAAGTTTCCTGGAGAGCTTTCCCTCATCTGCAACGACTGTTTCGGTAATGCTCTATGAGAGGAATGCGATACCAGAATGCTCGTTCTTGATGAGCTCCTGATTTGATTGTGGCTCGGGATGGCTTTCGTAAGCGCGATCACCTCTGTAGGTGACATCAGAGTTGTCTAGAATAGAACAATATCGGTCAGTAGGATGGAATACGAGTAAATTAGCATGGCGAGTCGAGATAAGCAACGTGATGCATACTTCTCTTCGATAAGACGCGATCAATGTAAGACAGGATCGAATAGGCAAGTCGCGAAACGTTAACCTATTCACCAATCATAGCAAATCGATAGGATAAGCATTAGATGTTCAGAAAGTAGACTCATAGTAGGCGTGCATTAGGTTCTGCTTTGTGCAGTTGTGCCCATCATGCAGATGAAAGGTGCCCAAGCCAAGCAACCAATGACGTCGCAAAGTCCCCGCAGACCTCCAGCGGCGCGCGCACCAAACGATCAACCCTCTCTACGCGCAACCGTTCCAAAAGCCCACTCCTCCCACATTCACTTTCAAACTATCTTCCAAACCCGCATAAAAGATGGCAGCAATATCCCCCGCCCCCGCCTCAACACCCACGCCCACACCCTCGACAGCGCCAACGCTCACGTCCCCCAACTTCGTCTTCCCACCACACTACTCCTTCCCGCCCTTCTTCACCCTCCAACCAGTCGCCAGCACACGCTCCTCCCAACTAGCCTCCTGGTCCACGCTCATCCAATCCTACTGCCGCCACAACCGCATCTTCACCCTCTCCCTCATCGACGCGCTCCCCACCCCGCTCTTCACAAACACCACGCTGCGACGCAGCCTCTCCCTGCGCGACGCAAAAGCCATTATAACCTACATGGCCTCCCCCGAAGGCGGCAACCGCGCTGAATTCATCAACACGAGTTCTTCCAAGAAGGCGAAGGCGGGGGAAGAGAGCGAGGGTGGCAAGGCGTGGATATATTGGCGCAGGCCGGAGGAGTGGGCTGCGGCGTTGGAGGAGTGGGTTGAGAGGACGGGGCAGAAGGGTACGGTGCTTACGCTGTATGAGATTGTCGAGGGGGATGCGAGTCGGCGGGAGGAGTTTTTTGGTATGGATTTGGAGTTGTTGCAGAGGAGTTTGGGGGTTTGTGTTAAGAGGGGGAGGGCGCAGGTCTTTGGGTCGGGGGGTGAAGGCGAGGGTGTCAAGTTCTTTTGAGAGAGTGTTTTGGTTGGGATATGGGTTGATGGATCTTGGAAGATATACTTGGACAAGGAGAAGATGCGTAGAGACGAGGTGGACGAGCGAGTTCAATGATACCCAGTCATATTTTGTTGCGTGACAATATAGAGCTTACAAAACTAAAGATGCGAAAGACATTATAGACATGCGACAAAGGCTTGGGCAGAATTAGAAGTACTAATGCCGCCTGCATATTTCTCCTTGGAAGGGCAGTCCCCTACTTCGCATTTGCAGCCGTAAGGCCTGTTCAGCTGCGATACTCCAACCTACTCGCCAACAGGCGTCCACATCGCCTCCAACAACCCCTTTTTCGGCTCTCTCCCGTCCAACACCGCATCCAACCACCCATTAATCAACGTCCACTGGCTATCATCCCCACACTCTTCAATCACAATCAACACATCCCTCTTCTTTGCCCCATCCTTCCAGTGCACCAGCCACTCCGGACACTGTCTGCGCATCTCTTCAACGAAGAAGGTGCGTAGACAGGTGAGCTCGTAGCATTGAAGCTGTTCGTTGTGGAACTGTACGGCGTCTTTGTCGGCGAGTGCTTCGGGGGTGAGGGGTAGAGGTGGTTGGGGCTGGGATGTTGTGGATGTGAGTAAGAGACCGTCGAGGAACTGGGGGATTTGGCAGGCGTGCCAGGGTGGTACTGTGGTAGTGCATTCCCAGTCTACGATTCCCACTAGGTTACCGGAATCGGAGACGAGGATGTTGTTCAGGGAGATGTCGCCGTTGAAGAGTATTGACTCTTCATGTCCGTGCTCCTCCGCTGGCGTTGTGAAGATCTTTGGAATCACCTTTTGGAGTTTGGAGTAGATCTCTGACATGCCTTCGGCTTGTTCTTCATCGTCAGAGTCGTAGCTATCTGAGTCTTCTGCATGTTGTAGCTTGGTGATGTCGTGCTGCAGGAAGGCCATGTGAGCATCCACGAAGCTTTGGCTGCTTGCGAACCGGCCGCGGTAGATGGGCTGCTGGATGTGATCGTCTATGAAGAAAGCTTGTGTGACTGCCTCTCCGACGGTATAGTGTGTGCTGCGTCCGCTGATGGTAGGCGACCGATTGGAGTAAAGACTGCCTATACCAGAGAGCTTCAAATGGTATAGCTGGACCATGAATTTTACTATTTGTTGGACCAGAAGCTCTTTGTGAAGCCAGGACATCTCATGCCATACTTCTCGGAGTGGACGGCCTGGCATACGCTCCATAAGTATCCATTCAAAGCCCAGGTCATCCTCAAAATTCTCGCTGTGTGCAACAATCTCAGGGACTGGAATGTTGGTCTTCTGGCCGAGGAAGCCTAAAGTAGCGACTTCGCTACTGGTCTTGACTTTTGGTGCTACAGGCAGCGTGACACGAAAGACGAATTGACCTTTGGAGCAGGCAATCTCGTATAGTTTGTTGAAGGCGCCTTCGGCGAAGGGCTTCAGTTCAATAAGCTCATTTTGTGGCAGCATCAAATGTTTTCGCGCCAGCTCTGTGGTCTTGTCAATGGATGGCTCTTTGGTCCATGTTGGTCTCGCGCCGAAGAGACCTGGCTTCCAGTATAGGCCTGGCTGTTCAATATTCCGAGGTACAGTTGGCGCTGAATCCATGATAATGGGACGTGAGTATGGTGACCGTGGTGTGGTGTTGATGTTAGGAGGGTAGAAGTGAGGAGGGGTAGTTACAAGCAAACAAAGACAATGCTGACCGCTTTCACCTGCTTCGTTTGCGCACGGCGAGTCAGTGATAAACTGTTTAGGGCACCAAAAGTGAACGCACACAGTGGTGAATAGCTTCACGCTGCACTGGTGTCAATGTCAGCGCAACTAGAGTGTCCCATGTACCTTCACACTGCCAGACAGATATCAAGATCAACAGCCATGGAGCGGATACACCTCATCGAGCACACTCTCCACCACAACCTCAGAAGATTACAACCATAGACCCATAGAGTCCGTCACAAAAGTAAGCATCAGTATGGGTAAGAAGTTCCGCAAAGCTCTCCTCGCCTTCATCGACGGCATCCCGGACCATAAGCTCGAGGGCGGTTTGCCATCTATCCAGAAGACCCTCTACGAGGACGACAACTACAGACTGGACATGCAGAATGTAAGTAATGTTTTTTGCACTATCGTCTTCGTCCACCCATACTGATCATAATACGTAGTTGACGACTGGTCCGCCCAAGTGCTATAACATCCAAGTTCAGGTAAACAGGCATGCCCTGTTCACCTCGGCGCGTAAGGCAGGTCAGAAGGGAGCCACCGTAGGTAAAGTTTTAGTGCCCGTTGAAGAGCCGTGGACTGCGTGGATGATCAAAGAGACGCTCAAGCAGAGCTGCATTGACTTTGGTGATCAATCGAACCAGTTCTAGGCGGCTTGGGTGCTTGCGTAAGTTGGTATACCTCGGCGAGTGTTCACGGCGATATTCTTTTCCGACATGGATAGGCGTTTTATACCCGGAAAGGTGTTGATGTTCCACAAGACTAAAAACAATTAGCGACGTCTTGAGCAACGAGTATAGTAGTCCAAGATAGACTTCAATCCGGAAGTCAGGTTTGCCTGAGTCGCATTGACCACATCCCCGCAAGACGCAAAGTTAAAACAAGCAGTGTCAGATGCTCCGTGCCTGAGAACTGTGGACGTGATGACGCCGCAAAAGCTTGCATAGTGACTGAGGACAAGGAGTCCATGGTGACTGATGCTCTGAACGCTGGGGAAAGTCTTGGGACGTGGCTGATTGACGGTGGAGAGGATGGCTGGACGCTTGGATCTTGATAGCGTAGATCACAGAGAGTTTTGAGAGATGATCCCAATAACGAAACAGATTGATCTTCGACTCTGGAGTCAAAGAAGGCTGGGAACCAGAGTTGGACAGGTAGTGCATGTAATGGTGATGCGGCGTGAGTGCATCGTGACACAGACGTCAGTCATCGGTAGTGGTCCTCTGCGGCGTACTAGGTGTGATAGTGACGCAACACATGCTAGGGAACTCGAATCCACCGTAGATGTGGTGGATATGGCTGGTGATGCAGATCAGGGCGGATCGTCGCAGGCTCAGAGTAAACAATGGTTCTGGTTAGGGAGCGGGCCGTTAGCTAGTCTGCAGTAGGAAAGGGCCGAGGGTCAACGGGCGCTGCAGAAAGCTACGCAGCACGCACAGTAAACAGAACGATGGACGCCGCTAAGGACGAGGCTGGAGGCTCCGCAAGCCCCATGCGCCGTTCGAACAGCGCATGGCCACGTCGCATAGGCGTCCACAATTGCGGGGAGCGTCGTGAGACGAAGCGACGTGGTTGTGCTGAGGGCGGACGGTCTCAGGCACAGGCTCGACGTTATGCGCTGCAACACAACAATGCCATCCGCAGCGGACCGGTTGCGCGGTGGACAGTAGTATTTGTATATTGAAACAGCGGACTAATCCAGCAGGTCGGTTCAACTGTTAGTGTGTGCAGGCAGACGCTATGCCGCATGCGTCTTGCTGCATTGTGCTGCAGATGACTGCGGGTCAGCGTGGAGCGCTGCGGGCTGCCGTCGAGAGAGGTTGCACACGGTGGGCATGCGGTGGGTCGTTGTCGAGGTCGTATAAACAACCGTCTTATACCTAATCACTCGACCAGCTGGAGTCGCAATCCGTCGCCAGGCACCTGAGACGAAAAGCATCGGAGGATAATTTTAGGCCAGGTACATCTCATTTCCCCTCGGCAGGGTCAGCCCAATCACCGCGCACAGAAAGAACGACCGGACCCCTGATCCCTGACGCCGAAGCAGGAGCTAGCCGACGCGGTAGCCTCGCTGTTCGTGCGTGTTGACCATCCCCCAAGGCTCAAGCGTGCCTTCCTCTCTCCACTGTAGAGGCCCATCGCAGCTTCCCTACCCAGTACGCTCTTTCTGCCACTGCGAGCCAGGCCCTCTCCTTCCCTTCTTAGACCGGCACCCCACCGATACGGTCTCTATTTTCTAATACTCTTGCATCGCCATCTCGACACCTACATAGATATACCCCATCTCCGAGGCCTATCTACATGTCGCGAACGGACTCGTGAAGCTGCGCGTCTCCTACTGGCCCGCCATCGTCGATTACTACACTCCACCACGGCCACTTCCTAGGATTGGATCTATCGACAAGCCATACAGCTTCTACGCGTACAGATATACTCAGCATGCGCCCGTGCCAGTGCTGCGACCATGTTGGCGCTATGATTCTCTCCGAACCTTATCGTCGCCCAACTACTACCTCCTGTTCCCAAAAGCAATCCCGCTCTGGAATAAAAAGGGCTGCTGTCTTCGCTGTCGTCGCCGCATCGATACCGTCCGCAATGGCTCAACGGAGTTGCGTGTCGCTTCAGGGCTCAACCGCCTGCCCGGCCTTTTCCTCCGCCTCTGTCGACACCAATTTGACCGCGAACTTGTACGTCAAATGTGTTTTGATAGACAGAGTGTTGGCTAACAGTGAACGCGCATAGTCCATTTCTTCAATACGTGTCAGACACTCGGTCGTTCGATGAGGGCTTGAAGAATTACATCGGTACCGGATATGCACAGCGACAGTCAGTCTAGTTCAAGTCGTACCACGCGACTGTTCATATGCACCAGGAAAACTAACGCATCCCAGGTACGAGAATATATTGGGATGCTCAAGCGTCAACCTTACTAGCACCACCAACCTCTATGCTCGTTACACAACGACTGTCCTTTGTAACGCCATCATCCAATCCTCCAAGAACAGCTGCGGACTCGGCGACACGGAAGCGACTCCACTTTGTGCTGGTGCCTGCGTATGTAGATCGTCTTTGTCCTCCCATACCGCGTCGAAATGCTGACCATCTCAGGCCGATTTTGCCATCAGCGAACAGGTCATCGTATCAAGCCCGGATCTGTGCGGTACGCCTGGTAACAATGCAGTCCCGGAAATCCGCTCTGATTTCGCTCGCTGCTCCAACCCTGCCAACTCTCTCAGCAGCAGCTGTATCGACGCGACCGAAAACGAGCCCAGCGAATGTGGATACAATGGCAACCTACAAGGACTCTGCCTCTTCTGTTCCACTAGCACCGTCAACTCTACGGACTCTTGCTGCGTCAACGCAAACGTCGAATCGCGCTGCGTAGGCATTGACCTGCCTACAACCGTCTCGATGCCTCCAGTGTTCCCCTCAAGCACTTCGTCCTCTTCCCCAAGCTCCACAGCCGGCGCCGGATCTGGTGGAGGTGATTCTGGTCTTTCTGGCGGCGCTATCGCTGGTATCGTTATTGGATCACTTGTCGGCGCTGCGGTAATCATCGCAGCCGCCATCTTCTGCTGCATGCGCATGCGGCACAAGAAGAATAGCCAGGCTGGAAGCGTCTTCAACACGCCATCGCCATCGCGACGCCACTCTCCCAAGGGACCCATGCCACCTATGAGCTACGGTGGCGACGGCCAATCTCCCGCTACTATTCTCCCCGGTGCGCGTGTTCAGCGTATGTCGGCTTTGGAAGGATCAGAGTCCTCGGGTCAGAACAGCGATCGAGGCGGCCGTATGACCGCATACGGTGGCTCACAACTCGGTGCCTATGATTCACCCGAGTCGATACGTGGCCATCTCGCCGGTAACCTCCCCAAACGACAAGGTTCTCTATCCAGCCATTCTGCTCTCGGAGCGAGCTCTTCACCACTCTCTGGATCTGACCAGACGCGTAACTTTTCCAGTCCGGATGGTGTCGCTTCCGGCCAGTCCGAGCAGCTACAGTTCTTCAAAGACTACTATTCCCAGGACGATATCCACCCGAACGACACTGTTGCCACTCTCTGGGCCTACCAACCTCGTGCCGGCGACGAGTTCGAGCTAGAAAGAGGAGATATGCTCAAGGTCGTCGGTATCTGGGATGACGGCTGGGCGACAGGTGTAAGACTCTCCGAATCGGCAGAGCAGTGGGAAGCCCGGAAAGCCGAGCAGCGCGACTCCGGCGTAAGCAACGGAGGCCGACGATCACCCGTCGAATCCGACAGCGAGATCAAGGCTTTCCCCTTGGTCTGCGTGTGCTTGCCACAACACTGGAGGAAGACGATTGAAGGCGACAGCACAGACTCTGGCGGGCATGGCAGTGGAGGTGACCGGATACCTCCAAGCCCCTAAGATGTCCTTCCGTGCCTGGGTCTGTTAACGCTCCCTAGTTGCTCCCTTGTCATCTCCAACCTCAGAACGCCCACCACGTTACGCGCGGTATGGAAAGGGCAAAAGTCGAGTCGCATCCGCAGCACCACCCAATTCGCTAACACGGCCACTACTCTCGAGCACACCAGACGTCCACTCCCTGGGGTCTAGTACACTTATCGGCTCCGACCCTGTCTCCAAATAGTAATGTCGCCACGATGATGTTTGATTTACGCGTTGCTCTTCCCGTTTTTGCGATACCTTCGATTCTTGGTCCACCACCACACCCCCGATCATCGGCCGTCGTTCTACCCCTCCAGGGGTCCCTTCGAACCCCTCGAACACGCCACGGCCGCTGGACCACTTACACTTCTGCTTTGTCACGATCAGCGCGAACCATAGACTGCCTTCGGGTCTAGTGTCTAATACGCTCCTTAACCGTCCCCTGTCGCGCAAGCCTTTGCTTTGCGCAACAA